GACAATCCATCCCTTGCAGCTCTGGCCCAGCGTGTTGGAAAGACAAGCACAGCCCTTAAAGCAGCAATGCAGTCCCTGGGAATGTTCTCTGCCATTTTATGGGTGCTGCCAGACTTGGTGGGACTCTCAGTGATGGCTTATGAATATCACCACTGGGAGCATTTCCCCATCTTTGGCTGCCTTCTGTCCGGAGGGATTTCGCTTCTTTGCACCTACTTCATGCTGCAGAAATGCATATTGGGTGCTGCTGATGACACCCAGAGGGTTTGTCCAAAGCTCTTGAGGCAGAGGAGAAAAAGTCCATTTAGCAGCAAGCAGATGTGCCATGATGACTAAGTGCTTGATATATAGTGGTCTGGTGAATTAGACATGTTTCCATTTTTTAAAACAACCACCACCAAAAGACATTAAAAGAATAATAATCAGATGATCAGGTTTTTATTTTAAAAATTCCATAAATCTTAGGCTTCTCATTTTTTAAAAAAAACCCTAAGTGAAATAATCTGAATGCCAGGATAAATCCCCTTCAGTTACTTTTAAAAATTAGTATCTCTATCCAATGTATAAGAATTAAGACCAATACTGAAAGGAGACTTTGGGACAAATGGACTTTTTCCTATTTATAATTCTTTCAGTCCACTAATGAATTGCTCTGTATATGATGTCAGACTAGAAAAAACTAGTGACCTATGTGAACCTGCTTGCAAGGATGGTCTCAAGTTATAATTTATGCAGGCCGCAGCATTCTTTCTCTCCCTCTCTCTTTCTATATATGCTGCATTTTGCTTTTTTTTTAGGAACAAGAGTTAGCTCTGTATCACAAGTCCCATGCAACATCTATTTCAGAATATTATTTCCCTCATACACCCTCAAACTGAAGGAGGGCATTCAGCTAGACAGGAGCCTCCACATTTGTGAAATTGAAAGTTGAGGTAGTTTTAGTCTTAGTATTTTAACTCTTGCATATCTTAAAGCACGACTGTAATTGTTTCCTGGTTTTATTGTTTTATCTCTTTGCACACCGCTTTGAGGTAGACTCAAGTGTTGTATAAGTTTTCATGAAATAAACTAATTGGTTAAGTTAATCTTCTGACCACCCTTACTAATCAGCTTTCAGTTTTCAATGAAAGTCTCATAAATGAGAAATATTGTGAATTATCTAGACCCCCCCCTTCTTTGGCAATCACTCGTAGCCGAGTAAGGTTGTCTTCCATAAACATGGTTTTAACAGTGAGTCCGTAAGTGACTGTGGAGGCCAGTTCTGGATTCACACGTCCTTCCACAGTGGGGACATTGGTTTCCGGGCAGGAGTTAATCACGGTGTGGATTTGCCAAGTATGCTTTCCTCTTAGGTTTCTCCCTTGCGTCCTGAGTTCGAGTGTCTTCAAAGCCCATGGCACCTTTGGTAAAGGCTGTTCTCCAACTGGAGCGCTCGCAGGCCAGTGTTTCCCAGTTGTCAGTGTTTATAGTACTGTTTTTAGATTTGCCTTGAGACAACATGTCATCGACACAGTAATAATGCATGAGTGGGTGGTTTATAGTGGGCCATTCAGATACCATTCCACTCTATTAATAGTTCTGCAACACTTCCCCAATGTCACTCGGTTATTATTGCCATCTGGAAGGTCACTCCTGCTCTGTAGTGTGGCAAAAGTGGGCAACACACACACCCATCAGCATTTGTGTTACAAAAACGTTGCAGGGCTTTAGCAGCAAACTATGGACCCATGCCTATTGCAAACGAAGCAGTGTGACCATCGCAAAACATTTGCAGATGCAAAGGGTATTGAAAGTGGGATCATGTATAATCACCCCAATATGAGTTCAGATATGAATGCTCAATAAAAAGGACATCTGGAAGATCCCTACAGCCTTCCTCAAACTGATGCCTTCCAGATGTTTTGGGCTTCATTGGCCATCCTGGCTAGAGCTGATGGGAGTTGTAGTCCAAAACCTCTGAAGCATTACTTGCTTTGGGAAGGCTGAGGTGAAATACTACTATACTGTGGGATTAGGACAAAACTAAAGCACCCCACCCACAATTTAGTTTCAACCATTTGTTTCATTGTGGGGGGTCAAAATGATGCAACCTGTTTCAGTGAGGGAATGGCATTTCATGTGGCATTCACTCCCTAACTCTTCAGCCCTGGCCTTCACACAAATTCATTTCGGTCTGGATAGATCAGGCCCATAGATCAATGTTAGTGCTACCCCCAGCATGAGGAAATTTGAAGGACTGGCTGTTCGAGTTCTGTCACCGGGTGTTGCCATTTTCTTGGCCTAGTCCAACAGGGCCAGCTCTGCTATTAGCCAGTGTGAAGCAGCTGCCTCAGGTTGCAGGTGCTGAGGGTGTGCGTATTGGGGGAAGCTCAGTGGTGAAGGAGCGTCTCCTCCCCATCGTTCTGCCCGGACCCTGAGGTCCAGCGCCGAGGGCCTTCTGGTGGTTCCCTCATTGCAAGAAGCAAAGCTACAGGGAACCAGGCAGAGGGCCTTCTCGGTAGTGGCGCCCGTCCTGTGGAATGCCCTCCCATCAGATGTCAAAGAGAAAAACAACTACCTGACATTCAGAAGACATCTTAAGGCAGCCCTGTTCAGGGAAATTTTTAATGTGTGATATTTTAGTGTATTTTTGGTTTCTATGGAAGCTGCCTAGAGTGGCTGGGGAGGCCCAGCCAGATGGGTGGGGTACAAATTATTATTATTATTATTATTATTATTATTATTATTATGGTGGCGGCTATCCCTAACCATTGCCCTTGAGGATCCCCACTAGCCACTCTCCTCTTTTAAGATGCCATGAGACCCTTTGCATACCCTCCAAATTTCTCCAGTGAAAATAGGGACGTCCCATTCCATAATGATAGTTTTACTATTTTTAGCCCCACACATTTTACTGGGTTGCCCCAGCCACTCTGGGCAGCTACCAACAAATATAAAGACATAATAAAACATTAAACATTTAAATAACTTCCCCATTCAAGATTGCCCTCAGGCAGCTCAGGGGCCGGATAACTCCAGACCCTCCAACATTTCTCCAATGAATATAGGGACATCCTAAGGAAAAGTGGGACTTTCCAGGATCAAATCAGAAACCAGGACAGCTTCTCTAAATCAGGGACATCCCTGGAAAATAGGGACACTTGGAGGGTCTGCCTTTGCTGTTTTTGCTTCAACAAACCGAAATGGCTACCCCTTTGGAAACAGCCTCCCTAAGTCCCCCAAGGCCATTTCCCTCATGTGAGGAGAGGACAGGGCTCCATTGCCAGTGTTCTGAAGTCATTCCATGGCTGATCCAGTTGCTTTCTGCTCATGGAATGGAGGGAGGGGCAGCAGCCATCTTGTCCACCTCAGGCAACAAAACGTCTTGGGTTGATTCTTCCTCAGAGAATAGATGTCGGGGATTGTGAATGTGGCGGAGACAGGGGGCCAGGAGGCTGACCCAGGAAAGGGAGCCACTGGTTTATGGGAGCCAGACCAGGGGAAGGAAGAAGAAGAAGAGTTGGGGCAGGATGAGGTGGAGGAAGAAGAAAGTGTTCAGCCAAGGGATGGGCCAGTTGACTACCCACCTTCCCCTGCTCCGCCATTTCCCTAGAACCAGGAGGGGCTTGAAGAGGAATGAGCAGCAGCGGCTTCCGTGCAGAAGAAGTCGCCCTGTGGGAGCTGCTGTCGGTGTTTCTCTTGCCAATAAAGTGTCAACTACCAGCCCTGCATCTTCCTGAGCTGCTGCAGTGGGCCGTGGCCATTATGTTCCAGTGTGTTTTTGTTAAAACTTTTGGAAACCATCTGAACCTTTGAAGTGGTTTCGCCTGTTGCACAGCTTAGCAGAGTATAGCAGCAATTGTTGAGCAACTCTTGAGATTGCCCAGCTGGACAACCAGCAGGAACACCGCTGACTAGTAACTTGATACTTGTTCTTTTATTGCGGTATTTACAGCAATACTTATTTACAACAAAACTTGTCATTCTCAGCAACTCCTCAGAACTAACCACACCACACTAACACTCTCCAACACACACCAGTGTTATAGGTCATGCCTCTATAAGGAACTCAGCCAATCACTGGCCGGTTGCTGGGTCTCCTTATATCTGGCCGGATTCCTTTCATGTTCTGCCTTCCCATGTGGTGGAGATTCTAACTGCAAACTTCCCAAGCTGCCTGCAAATCATGGATTTCAACAATTTTAACCAAAAAAGCAATACCGCACACACACAAACATGCAAAACCCAAGCTCACAAAATCCCTCCTAGCCCAAATAGTCTGTAGGCTCTACTATCCTCAGACTGAACAACCCTGAGGCAACAAGTCTCATGTTTTTAAAAGATGCCATAACAAGAAGTTCAAAATAGTAGCAAGTCCTTACTTTATTAATTTTGAACTTTTAACCATGTTTTAAAAAAATATCTAGCCCCTGTGGTACAGGCAACTCTCTCTGGCCACCTAACCCAGAATGTCTCCCTTTGAGAGATGACCCTCTTCCGCAAAGCAAGAGAGAATAGAGGAGCTGCTGCATTAGTGTCAGCAAAGCATTTTGAAATAAAAGGGGGAGAGGAGAGCAGGCAGTGTAACAGTTTTGCTTTGTTCAGAGGGGAAATTTAAGCTCAAGTTCTATGAAACAGAAATCCAGTTTATCGTCTCAGTTACCTTTATGACAAAATTAGCCCCCCTTCATATCAACACAAAAAAATTCAGTGTTCAAGGATGAATCTTCAGGCACATAGCAAATTCCTTTCCTTTACCTGTGGAACTTAATTGAGCACCACAGAAAATAAGTTAAAATAAGGATGAGAAACCTTGACTAAATCATAACTGCCTGAATCAGCAAAGATAAAATACATAAAAATACAAAATAAAAGACACAAAATACGTAATAAAAACAAGAACAAAAATAAGCCAATTATCCCCCACCCCCACAAAGGAAGAGAAAGCCCGTTCTTGTGTTGCCACCTTCTGGATCTCTTGTGTAGGAGCCACATGAAGGAGGGCCTCGGAAGAGGGTCTCTGAATCGCTGTAGGTTCATACGGAGAGGCCGTCCTCACACTCTTTTGGTCTTGGGAAGGCTGCTCTGCCTAGGGCTATGGGTTCCAGGGCTTTCTTTCGAACCCTTTCAGCATCCTCAGCTAGATTATCCAGGAAGCTTGACAGCATCCAATAAGTGATGACAAAAGACACCCCTGCTGCTACCAAGCTTCTAATTAGTGAAGGCGGGAATAATTCTTTTGCATAATCAGTTATTTTCTTTATAACCAGATCGATGGTAATTTCTATCATCTGAGGAGACTTCATCACGGCCTTCAGTTCTTCAACAGGCTTCCTGGCCAATCTGGCCCGCCTAGCTAAGGAGCCATCATCCAGCTCAAACATCTTGTAGAAGGCAACCATGGACCCAAGCAAGAGGGCAACATCACAAGCCAGAGGAAGGTTTGGAATGTGAATAGCATTGATGCCAGCAGATGCCAGGGATATTTTCCACAGGTGGCTCTTCAGCGCAGATTTCTTCTTTTCCTTGAATTCAGGGGAAAACATGGGAAGGCTGAGCAGGAATGCAAGTCTCTTCAGGCTGGGCAGATCTTTCTCCAAGGTCTCCACCAGTTGGGGGAAGTCATACTTGTCAAGGTCCCAGGAGGAGATCAAAAAGACTTGAGGGATGGTGTTCCTGAAGCACTTCCTAAGCTGCTTCTTGAAGTCATTCCTCATCTTTTCAAGGACTTCCTCTGCATTGAAGGTATTTGGATAAGACCTTTCCATGTTGTATAGATCTGAATCTACTTTGGAGCGCACAAAATAACACTTCTTCTCCATCTTCTGGATCGCCTGAGCTAGGTCAATGTGGTTGGATCGGAATCTTTCTGAGCCAACAATGATAAAGAAGTCATAGCGGGGGAAATCCACCTTCTTAAGGTAACTGTCTGGTGAAAAATCTGGGGATCCAATTCCTGGCAGGTCCCAGAATTTCATTTTGGGATAGTTAGGATGCGGATAAGACTTGGAATCTAGTGTAGTTACTGTCACTCCTACAGGGGCGGCACCATCATCTTCTGCCTTCAGGCCTCGCAGAGCATTGATGAGGGATGATTTCCCAGAGCCCGTCTCTCCAGTGATGGCAATGTGAAGCTCAGTGTTTTCCAACTCCTCCAGCTCCTTTTTGACTTCTGAAGCTGCTTCCTTCATTCCACCATCACTGAAAGCCTCCATAAACATATCATATATCTTGATTGCTATATTGAAAAGTTTACCGGGATCTGCATTCATGCCTGTATTTTTCAATATAGCCTGGAAAATCTCAAACAAGGATGAAAGTTTTTCCTCATATGAATTCATCCTAGAAGAAAAAGGGAGAGCTCAGAAAGGCTTTGTCAATACTATTGACCCATCTAGCTGGGAAACTCAGTGATGATTTACACTTAGCTCAAATATAAATATTTTATGCTCAGCAAAAAATGTTTGAATTTTGATATTGTGGGTATTGGGGAATTAACATCTGTTGGAGTGTTAATGTTGTGAGCCCTTCCATCTTGTGCTGAGGTGGTGGGTGGGTGGGTGTGCAAACATAGCACCATATATCAAAAAGACACCACAGTTTCCAGCGGCTTTCCACTGGAAGATTCCAAGGCAAGTGTTGGCACTCTTGAAGTCTCTCCCTACACAGGTGATGGGGTGTTTGTTTGAGGCGGCAGGAAATGAAGAGTTTTGAGCAAGATTTGCTGGGAGGAAGAAGGAGGAAGAAAGACTGGGATCCATCTTGGGCAGGCTGGCTGCAGGCTGACTGGGAGAAATGCCCTGGGGCTGCACTAGTGTGGGGGGGACAAATCCCTCTTGAAAAGAGCATGCTGTAAGATCTGGACTCCCTCCATGCAGACTGAAAATAGGGTAAATAGGGGAATTTCTTAAATTCTCTGCTGTGTCTCAATTCTGCAAAGGACCACAGACCCCATGGGCTCTTGCCACTGCTTGGCAGACAGAGAGGGAGGTTTTCTAACTCTGCTTCAGAAGCATGCCATTTGCTTCCCAATGCTGCTATAAACCTTAGGGGAAAGTTCAAGAGCAGCAGAATATCAAACATCATTAGGATCACAAGGCTGCCAGCTGAGCAAGGGGAAAGCAGGCTGGGAGGGAAAGACTTTGAAGGACCTCTGTTAAGACTTACTTGCGCCTCAAGATCCTTGACAAACTGTTGTTTGATGACAGGATAGTTTATCTTCTCACTTCAGCTGCTCACACTCTCCTGTTCTCTCTGGACTTTGTGGCAGAAGAACTAGTTCAGAGTTTTGCTGAAAAACAAAGCAATTGTCCAAGTCTCATGGCAACCACAGTGAAAAACATTGAGATGGGCAGACCTCAGAAGGCTGTTGAACTAACTTTGTCTTTCTCAGGCTGAGAAGCATCCCATAACAGGAAGCATAGGGTAGATCCACTCAGTGATGTAACGTGGGGGGGGGTCAGCGGGGTGGTTGTCTTGGGCACAAGTTTTTAGGGGGCACAACCTGAAATATACTCAGAGTCCTGTAGTGATTTCTTGCTCTTTATTGCAGCTTGTAAAACAATGATTGAATTGGACTTCCGGTCGGCGCCATCGATCAATGGCGGATTTCCCTCCGAGCTCCGGAGGGAGTCTGCTCCGCGAGTTCGGGTCTGACCGCTACGGCGAAGCGGGGACCCATAAAAATCACAGGCGCGGAAGCCTGTGAACAAGGAGACTCGGCGGGCACCTTCGCGCGCCCCCCAAACCGCAAAGGAGCCTTTCTAAAGGCTCCGGAGCGGCAGTGGGTGTGTGGCGCGGTGCTGAAAGTCGTCACCCAAGCCCGTGGAGCGAAGCCGCGTCGCCATGGTCAGAGAGCGCTGATTCCTTCCTGAAAGTTGGATTGAAAAGAACTACACTTTTATGGACATATTTACAATCCATGGTTATGGGGGGGGGGGAATCAATTTACATAGGACATATCTCTAAGACCAGTGGGTTGTTTGAGCAGCAGTTGGTATTTGCTCAAGTGAAGAATTGTGCCTGTTGTCAATCTCTCAGAAATCTATATGTGCATGCATTCACACATAACCCTTAAAACATGTTTATGTGAGATGTGGATCTTTTTTGAACTCAAATTGTTAATTCCTCTAGAGGAGGCATGGCCAAACGTGGCCCTCCAGCTGTTTTGGAACTACAACTCCCATCATTAATGACCACTAGTCCCGTTAGCCTGGGATGATGGGAGTTGTAGTCCCAAAACAGCTGGAGGGCCGGGTTTGGGAATGCCTGCTCTAGAGATTTGACTAAAGGAAGCATTTACACAAAGGATTCCTCTCTTTTTTTGCTAAAACTTTGGGTAAAACACTTAATAAATAAATAAGCCAATGCACTGTGCATATCCCTAGTATATTCTGCCCAAGCCTTGTTCTGCCACTTTCACAAAAGTCACCATAAAATGAAGAATATTTTTAGAAATGTCACCAAGGGGGAGATAAAAAAGGAGTCAATGGGTAGGAATAAGTGATGCAGAAAGAGCCCATAAATATTCTTAAAGTGCAGTACTGGGGAAAATATCCACATTGGGTTCTTGTCAACTAACCTTTACACAGCGATGACTCAATGAAATTAATAACCATGCCTAAGGTCCATTAATTTTAATAGGTCTACTCTGAGTAAATGTTACTTGAAGACAACCCATTACCAGCAACATTATCTTGTACCGAAAGCCATATAAATATAATGAATAAATGAATGAAATACCGCTAAAGGAAAAAAGAGCATAAAATCGATTTTAGATTTAAAGACATTCTGAGGATCTAACTGCATGATACATTAAGTGTGGGGTGTTATCAGTGGGGTTTTGTTTGTTTGTTTGAATTGATATGGGGAGGCGATTTTGCAGCAGGACTAAAGTACATGGGGAAGGGAAGTTTCATCTTTGGTACCAGTCATGGAAGGACACAGAAAGCCCCGAAAGGGCGACTCGGGAAAGTCGTAGAATCATAGTACTGTAGAGTTGGAAGGGTCCCTGAGGATCATCTAGTCCAACCCCTGCAATGCAGGGACCTGCAGCCTTGGTGTTATCAGCACCATGGTCTAACCCACATAGCTATCCAGGCTCATTAGGCAGCACCTACCCAGAACGAAGAGAAGCTCCAGCATCTTCTGCCCTGCCCTGCCTCAAACCCTTGCCATGCAGTTTTTCTAATCAGAAGTGGTGCACAGATAGCATTTTTACACAACAGCAAGTGCTGGGACGCAGCTGTGTTCCTGCTGCTTTCTTGAAGGAACTGGGGGGGGGGTCTGCAGAGGGATGTATTGAATTAACACGCAAAAGGGTGGCATTGGCTTCAGGGCAGTTACTTAAAACTCTTATGCTTTACTTTTAAACTAAGTGGCAGCCCAGATGGTCTCTGCCTCTTCAGCACTCAGGGCATTGTTTGGAGAATAGAAGTGGCTGTATTTCTCTGTTCTGCACCCCGTTCCCCGCTCTGACAAAGAGGGTGGGGTAGGGTTGCCAGACGTTCCCAGTACAATATGCATGTGTGCTTGGGCCCAGGGTCTTTTGCCTCACCATCCTCACTACTGACTCCCTGTTGCTACTCAGCTTCAAAGAAAAAAACAGACAAAACAAGTGTCCCTGGGTTCATTGGGGAAAAAACCTGGTGACCATAGGGTGAACTGCATTGCAATGCTAATAAACGTCTTTTATTAAACTTGTCGGGGGGAGGAGACTAGTAGCACGAGCTCTGCTTGCTCCCTGGAGATGGCACGTTATTTATTCCCTTTGCTGCGGGAAGAAGGGCAGCCTTCTCCAACATCATTGTTAATAATATTATTATTGTTGTTTATAATATGATATCACAGTAGCTATAATGTAATGGTTAATATAATAAAAAGGTAAAAAATAACAATAAAAAGGTAAAAGGTAGACGACGACAACAACAATTGTATCTGTCCCCCACCAAACAAGGAGCTTAGAGTCTCCTTTAACGCAAACAAGCTCAAAAAGAAACGCAAAGTTTAACTCCTTACCTGCTGCTGAACCGATTTTTTGCAGCCAAGCTCAGTCCTCTTCTCGGAGGTTTTGCTTCGAGGTTTCTCGTGCTTTTATCCGTCCTGCTCTCTCCCTCTGTCTCCCTTTTATACCCTCTCTCCCTCCTGACCCTCACACTACTAAAAGCAAAAAGGAAACACCTGAGCAGCACCTGAGTTGTCGGCACTTCTTACTACAGCTGTGTGGAATATTTTCAAAGTACCGTAGAAATTTCCTTTTTTTAAAAAAAAAACTTTCCAATTAATCAGGTCCATTCATTTCAGCTGGTGTGCTCTGAGCATGAGTATATTGGATAAAATCCTTTGGCTGGGGTGTAAATGGCAAGCTGGGGGAGCAGAGCAGTGCTATGAGGAGAATTCAGCTGATCAGGGCAGTGGCGTCCCTGGTTGCACAACCAGACGTGCATCTGCAGTACATCAGATGTGCACTGGGCACAGACTTATTAATATAAGAATGCAATGACAACAAGGTTCTGCCTCATGTCTGAAGTGTGTCAAGTTCTTTCTTCCAACCCTCTCTCTGCATAGACCTCTCCTGTTATTGGCATTAAAAAGCTGGGGGGGGGGGTTGGCAGTGAAAGGATTTTATTAGCATGTGCAGAGATACTTTGTTCTGCTTAGGGAGCCCTTTCAGCACTAAATTGTCTACTGAGGGCCTCCTGCACATCATTGATCACGTGACCCATTTGCATTGCAGAAAATGCTGAGAATGGAAAAGCATCATAAGGGATGTTATATTGGTTCACATGCTCAGACCTGTCAGGTTTCACTATCAAGTTCCATGAACTGGGAATGTCCATAAACTCACAGATGGGCTGTGCCTTGTTGTAGCTGTGCACTGAAGATCAGCAGTGATCCCTGGTTTTGATCTTGGAATGACATACAGTGGTACCTCAGGTTACATACCCTTCAGGTTACAGAGTCCGCTAACCCAGAAATAGTGCTTCAGGTTAAGAACTTTGCTTCAGGATGAGAACAGAAATTGTGTGGCAGCAGCAGGAGACCCCATTAGTTTAATTGGTGCTTCAGGTTAAGAACAGCTTCAGGTTAAGAACGGGCCTCCAGAACGAATTAAGTACTTAACCCGAGGTACCACTGTACATACTTCTGAAGGGAGACCCCGAACAGTGACTGAAAACCCCTATGCAGTTTAAAATCACCAAGGTACTTTGAGCTTATCTCCGACAAAAGCCTAATAAAGTGGTACAGGCACATATTTCTAACTAAATGCTCTGCTGGTGATGATTTGCAACTATATACCCTGCATAACCTTGAAAGGGGAAAGTAGCTTTGGGTTTTTAATATCTTGGAGCAGAAATTAGATCCTGTTTACAAGTTCCTCTCTCCCCCTCCCCTGCCCAGCACACAGCTCTGCTCAAACAGGTGATTTCTGAGAAAACGAAAGTTAACGGGGTCGCTGTAGGTCCTCCTCCTTCTTGCAAATCCTTTCTTGGACTGGGCTGGGTCCTGACTGGGTGTCTGAACTCTTACTGCAGTACAGGGTGTCAAAAGATTTCAGATTAAAATAGCCACTGCTGGCACTCAGAGCGTGGGGCAAGAAATTCCCGCTGCAGACACTTCTCAGTTGGCTTTGCAGATGCAGCTGCTACCTGCCTGCCCGTCTGCAAGGAGACTGAGTCGGGGTGTATGTGTGGAAAGAGCTCCAGCTCCTAAGGCTGCAGGAAGCTGGAGGACCATCTGGGGGAAGGGAAGGCGAGTCTCTCTGTGTGAGGCTGTAGAAACCCTTGAAGGGAGCAGTGCCTGTTGTCCCCCTGAATGATGTCCCCTAAGGCTGAGGGTGTCAGATAAGACACAGGCATGCGGGCTCTATAGACGCTCTGCACTCTGCAGAATGTTAGAACTTTTCCAAAAAAGTTGGCTATTTCCTTTTTTAAAAAGTTCTCGGCAAAATTCATCAGGACTTCTATTTATTATGATTATAATTGTTATTATTATCATCCTCAAAAGGCAGTGTACAAAATGCAATGAACACAGCTGAAAAGCATTTAAAACAACACAGGAAAAAAGTAAATATGTTTCCAAACAATGCTACATAGACACTCATGGCAGCAACCTATTCATCCACCTGGGAAAACTTGTCGGAATGAAAACATCTTCAGTTGTTTCCAGAAAGTGCCGGTAGCAGGTTCCTGTTGTATCTCTGCAGGAATGCTATTCCACAGAACAGCGGAAGTCACACTAAAAGCCCTGCTCTGAATTACAGAAGATCTACCCAAATATATCAGGAGTGAGTGGCAGATTTTATCCTGCCTAAATGATTGTTCTCACTGGCCCTGGTTAATAGGGGTTAGAAAGTATGATGGGCACTGACTCATTCTATACAT